GTGCATGTAGTTCCTAAGAAATCTGGTTTTACTTTGGTAAAAAATGATAATAATGAGTTAGTGCCCATGAGATTACAAACTGGATGGCGGATGTGCAATGATTTTCAAAAGTTGAATGCCGCCACTAGGAAAGATCACTTTCCACTTCCTTTCATTGATCAGATGCTAGAGAGATTGGCAGGTAAGGTATTTTTCTGCTTTTCGGATGGATATTCTGGTTATCATCAAATTGTTGTAGCCCCTGATGATCAAGATAAAACCACTTTTCCTTGTCCCTTTGGCACTTTTGCATATCGTCGCATGCCTTTCGGTTTATGCAACGCACATGGTACTTTTCAAAGATGTATGATGAGTATTTTTTCTGACTTGATTGAGAATTGCATTGAGATTTTCATGGATGATTTCACTGTGTGTGATGATTCTTTTGATCATTGTCTAAGTAACTTGTCAAAAGTTTTGAAGCGTTGTATTGAAACTAATCTTGTTCTTAATTATGAAAAATGCCGTTTTATGGTTAGAGGAGGGATAGTTTTGGGCATGTTGTTTCCAAAAGAGGAATTGAGGTAGATAAGGCTAAGGTTGATTTGATTGCAAGTTTACCATTTCCTACTAATGTGAGAGAGGTTCTGAGTTTTCTTGGGCATGCAGGTTTCTATCGAACATTCATCAAAGATTTTTCCAAGATTGCTCAACCAATGTCTCGCTTGTTGCAAAATGATGTTACATTTGAATTTGGTAGGGAATGCAAGGAAGCATTTGAGACGTTGAAGAAGTTGCTTACCTCATCACTAATCATACAACCCCCAGATTGGGAGTTGCCTTTTGAGCTTATGTGTGACGCAAGTCAATATGCCATAGGAACAGTATTAGGGTAGAGAGTTGGGAAAAATAGCCATGTCATCTATTATGCATCAAAGACATTGAATCCCGCTCAATGCAACTACACTACAACTGAAAAAGAACTTCTTTCTATTGTTTTTGCATTTAAAAAGTTCAGGTCTTATTTATTGGGCTCTAAAATTGTTGTTTATTCTGACCATGCAGCTTTGAAGTATCTTTTAGGGAAGAAAGAATCAAAACCACGACTCATAAGATGTGTTCTCCTCTTAAAAGAGTTTGATTGGGAGATTAAAGATCGCAAAGGAGTTGACAATTTGGTGGCTGACCATTTAAGCAGATTGATTCGCGAAGAAGATCCATTACCCATTTCTGAATCTTTTCCAGATGAGCAACTTTGAGCAATGCAAGGTAGGGAACCTTGGTTTGCTGACATGGTAAATTTCTTAACTACTGGAAAATTTCCATCTGGCATGAGCACTTTTCAGAAAAATAAGCTGAAATCCAATTCTAAATATTATATATGGGATGACCCTTATCTGTGGAAAATAGGCTTTGATCAAATTATTCGTAGATGTGTTCCTGATAATGAAATCCATTCGATTCTTACTTACTGTCATGCTTATGCATGTGGTGGCCATTTTGGTCGAAAAAGAACAGCTAAGACAGTTTTAGATAGTGGATTTTATTGGAAAACATTGTTCAAAGATGCCTATGAGTTTTGTAAAGGTTGTGAAAGGTGTCAAATGATAGGTAACATATCTTTTAGGAATGAAATGCCACAAACCCCTATGTTGTTTTGTGAAATATTTGATGTATGGGGTATGGACTTTATGGGACCTTTTCCTAGTTCATGTGGAAATTTTTACATATTGCTTGCTATTGATTATGTCTCGAAGTGGGTATAAGCAAAGGTGACCCGAACCAATGATTCTAAGGTTGTTTCAGGATTTCTTAATCTAACATCTTTAGTAGGTTCGGTGTTCCGCGAGCAATTATCAGTGACCAAGGTACCCATTTTTGCAACGCATGATTGAAGCATTGATGTGTAAGTATGGGGTTCACCATCGGATATCCACAACTTATCACCCCCAAACCAATGGCCAAGCTGAGGTTTCAAATCGGGAGATAAAGAACATCTTGAAAAAGACTATAAATCCTAGCCGTAAAGATTGGAGTTTACGCTTAGATGATGCTTTGTGGGCCTATCGTACTGCATACAAAACTCCTATTGGAATGTCACCTTACAGGTTAGTTTTTAGTAAGATGTGTCATTTACCAATTGAAATTGAAGATCGTGCTTTTTGGGCAGTTAAGTAATGCAACCTGAATGCTGATGGCGCTGGTGTAGAAAGGAAGTTACAACTTCAAGAATTGGAGGAAATTCGTTTGGAGGTATATGATAATGCCCGAATTTACAAAGAGAGATCAAAACTCATTCATGACCAGTTCTTGCGAAAGAAAGAGTTTGTAGTTGGCCAAAAGGTTCTCCTCTTTGATTCTAAGCTAAAGATGATGCCAGGTAAGTTAAAGTCCAGGTGAAATGGACCATATATGGTTGTAAGAGTTTCTCCTCATGGTGTTATTGAAGTTAAAGGTTTAGAGTCTAATAAAGTTTTAAAAGTAAATGGTCATAGGCTAAAACCTTTTTTTTCTAATTCTGAAGTTGTTAATGTGGAAGAAGTTAAGTTACTTCCTCCCATTTATGAGAACTAGAGCAAACACCATGTCTAGCCGAAGACGTTAAAGAGTGGCGCTTATGTTGTGTATTTTGATATTTTTGGTTCTTAGGAGTGATGGAGCCGAGATGGAGAAAAATGTTACATAAACACGCATTTTTAGAACATTTTGACAAGGAAAGACAAGAAGGGAGCAATGACATCACATTCTCGTGTGGGCACACAAATCTTAGTCCAAAATTGAGCTTTATAGAAGAAATTTCAGCATTGATGCTGCATTTCCGTTTGGCCAAACCGAAACAGGGACTAAAATAAAAAATTAAAAAAGTTTTAGGGTCAAAATATAATTTTTTCATACTTGAGGGACCAATTTGCAAATCTCGGAAAAGTTAATTTGCAGCTGCCGATTTCTGAAGTGCTGCTGCGGCTGACCTATTTTCTGATTATAAATAGACTTTGCTTTTCATTTTGAAAGAGTAGTAGGTAGTACAATAAAAATAGACGTAGTTTTCCACTTTTAAGAAGCTTTCAAAGGCAGTTTCTTCATTTTTGGAATCTTCCAAGTTCATAGACATCAATCAGTAACATTGTTCAATGAATTTTTCTTGTGATTCAGTTTCCATGATGAGTAGCTAAATTCAATTATCTGGTCGAAGGGTATTGAAGCCTTGGTTTGAATAGTTGTGAGATCTAAATGTTGTTTCTCTCTCAATTTCTTGTGAGTATTTACTTTGTTCTATTGCATGATTGATATGATTATTGTGGATTCATGAATAGCTGGTAGCATTCGGTGCCTCTTAATAATCTAAATCCAATAAGACAACAAGGTTTGTTGTTTAAATAGGGTATAATGTAATTTAATTACTTGGTAAGTAATTATTTATGTTATAAGAACAAGTAATCCGGTTTAATATAAAACAAGGTTTGTTTTATAGGAATTGGATTGGGTCTATGTGTTTAATGCAGTAGTTTTCTAAATCTTAGGAGGTTCCAAGATTTGTTTTCGACTAGTATATGATTAATGAAATTTTCTTAATCATTGAACTCAATGAATGATTGAATTGTTTGGAGGTTCCAACAATGAAAATTAATCTACTCATAAGTTAATGATAATATTATTGTATCTATAATTAACTGTTTAAATCAAGGGTGGATATACAAACCCTTCAGCTAGATATTTTCTCATTATTTGTTTGCATCATTTTAGCTATTGTTTGCAATTTGTTTTGTTCTCAATTTGGAAACATCCCGTGAAGAAACCGAAGAGATTTTAGAGTCCTCAGCCATCTTTCCTTTGGATCGGCTGAGATTTTCAGATGATAATTTCTCAAGATCAGTAATGAAACTGAAAAGGGTCCTAGAATAGTAGAGATTTCTGCCCAAAAACTGGTTCGGAAATTTGCAGAAGATGAAACTTGATAAACTTTTAAACTGGTGGAGGATGGCTTGCTTGCTTGCATCTTTGCTTTTTATTTGAGTCGATTAGAAATTGGGGTGTATATTTATGGAGCTGATTGCTGCCGACTAAAGGCTTTTCCAATTACCAAACTGATTTTAGCACTTTGAGTTTCCTAATAATAATTATATCAATGTTTCAGCCAACCTCAAAATTCCGTTTCCCGAAATTAAGTAATTGATTTCCTTAGTCTTCAAAAAACTTATTCTCTCTGTATTAGGAGATTTGATTGATTAAGTAGCAGGCCATATATTTATAGGAGAAAAGAAGGTCAAAACCCAATTGGATTTGAAGGAAAAATTAAAGTGAACATGCGTATAATCCTATACCTAAAAATAAAATGAAGTCTCAACTCTCACCGCCATCTGATGTCCCATCAATGAAATGATTCAGTTTCACAAAATATTTGTATTTCTCCAGGCAGTTAGTTAAATTCTTCGATTTCAAGTCTCGTTTAAAAACACACTGATTTACTGGAAAAGTTTGGTTAAGACTACATTTATTTGTTTAACTCTTCATCTCTTCCGTTTCAAAAAACAAAAAAAAAAAAAGAAAAGAAAAATTCATCGTAGCTAGAAAGTCGACAAGTTTTTCAAAAATTGAAAGGTCAACAAGAACCTCAACGACTTGTCGCGTCGAAGTTTTAGGAAAATTGCACATCCACTGTACATTGTTTTTCCATCCACATCGACATGGAACCAAAATTTGTTCTATTATCCTTCCTATTTTTTTCCCTACTCTGAAGTGAGCTTTAATTTGATACCATGTAAAATCCGTCGAGCTGAAAATATGGAAGCTTCAAACTTATTGGGGGAATGGGGAAGAGAAGGAAATTGGAGAACTAATTATGAAGTCTTAAAATTGTTTCAAACACATGCATGCGCGCAGGAAGGAAGAAAAAAACAAGAAGAAGAAACATCCAACTACAAATAAGTTTTCTTGTCAAACAAGACTGAGTTTGAATCATAAAATAATTTAAGAAGAAGAATTTAACAGCAGAACTGCGCGCAGGGCAATACACCACTATATTAGTCCTTGTTGCCGTGCTCGACGTCTTGATGATCCTCCTCCCCATTATCCTCTGCTACCACAGCACTCTGGGAGCTGCTGGAAGAAGGCCCTGCCCCAACATTACCGATGGAAGAAGAAGGATGATTATTCATCTCGATGCTGCCGCTGCTGAGAAACCCGGCCGGAGGAGGAGGAGGAGGAGGAGTGAAGAATCCAGCAGGGGCAGCAGGGTTGTGGTGCGGAAGACAATGCATCACGGGTGGGGGTGGTCCTCCTGCAGGCGGGGCAAGGCCAATGCCTGAGGCGGGCGGATGATTCTCAACGCCACCAGCAGCAGCGACGGCAGCAGATCGTTTCCCTAGTAGGGCATCAGATGATGAGCCGGCCCCGGCCCTATAGTTATACTGATGATCACCAAGGGCAGCAGTAGCATCAAACTCCCTGTGGCATTGGAGGTAGAGGGTCAGGGGCTCAATGTAGTCATCGAAGCCCAGCTTACTCATCGCCCACAGCACATCCTCCGCGGTGATGGTCTTCCTATGCTCCCGCTGGCACCGGTCATTGGCTTCGCCTGTCACGAAGTTGATGAACTCTGACACGCATTCCTGAACGGTGTCCTTGGCATCATCCGATATCTTTGCGTGTCCCGGCAGTATCTTCCTCATGATCCTTACCACGTTCGCTATCGGCAAGAACCTGTCTTGCTCCCTCACCATGCATTCCCCGCCATCGGCTGCCCCTCCACCGCCAACAGCAGCATTACTACCACCACCATTACCATAATTAGCTGCTGCATAGTTGTTGATGAGGTTCAGCTGGTTACTGTTAGGTGCAGCTGGTGGTTGAACTTGGAGAGGCAGTCCATTTCCATTGTTCATTCCTACACACGCACGTATCCATCATCATCATATACATAATAACACTTATAGATTATTAAAATTCGTCAATATACATATGAAAAAGTTTCCCCTAAACAACTGCTAGTGATTGCTGATTCACTGATAAAATTATTTTAATCCTTTTGTTACGACAATTTCTTTCATAAACTCTTGATTTTGTATCCGAACTACAGATTGAAATCAAATTGAATAAATATTCAGCTTGTTTTCATTCATTGGTCAGAGCGGTATACTCAATCCGAGTTTGGTACTTGAAACAAAAATCAATAGTAGCCATAAAATATTGGTTTTGTGTAACTAAAACAAAACGAGAAATTTGAACATGAATTATATTACTTCATATGCATTTCAAATACTTAGGACTGGGAGAATGCGGTATATATAAAAACTTTAATGTAATCTTTCTGGGCCAAAATGAAAAGAAAATGGTTTTTGTTTTTGAGGTAGAAAGGAAGGGGAAAGGGATTGCATTTTGATTTGATGATGAAATCAATTTGTAACTGCAATTGCTGCAGAAGTTAGGGGGATATCTGTAGGCTGTAATCCTAAGTGTCTAATGTATACTTGGATAACCAAGGAATCACAGTGATGAAAAATCATATGACAAAAGAGTATTCTCTCAAGGGAAACTGAAGCTTAAAGAGCTTCTCCGCTTTTTATCAAGTTCTGAAAATTTCAGCAAAACAGTGGTACACAGGCCATATTCATAACACATCAAAACCATCTTCAACTAGGATAAACAAGGTAGGATTTATCCAAAGAATCGAGAAATCTAACAGTTTAAACATCAGGAGAAAAACGATCTCCAAAACAGCACCTCAGAAGAAAAATCCATAATTTCACGACAGGTTGGTCATGTTCAAATCAATGTTACGGAAAAACCATGACTCCATTTTATGATAAGTGAAAAATGAGGTAAACTCCATCGAGGATAAAAGATATTCATTAAATTAAATCACAGAAGAGGGTTCAAGATATAGAAGAAACGAGTCTCTCAACAAAGGGATATGAAACTGGATTCTCTGCAGAACGCCCAAAGTACATTCATTCTGTTTGAAAACAAGTTTTTGGAAAGGTACAGCACACCATTTACCAAACTACAACAGCAGATAAAAAAATCTTTAATGCAAAAAAGAATGAGTAAAAATTCGCTCAATACAAAAGAGAAAATGAGAGAACCCAAGTTTTCAAAAAATGGAAAATCCAACTTTAGGATATCATCTTTACTCCTTTAGCCTTTTCATTCGGGAAACCCACCAAAATTCAGTTATCAAATCCCTTTCAGGTGAATCCAAATCTCTCATTTTGTTTTTAGTTTAGATCTCAAGATTAAGCTAAATCTTCCTATCACCTTATAGTGATATCTTATACTGCTGTGTATTAAGCGAACTCTAAATTTCTCTCTTTAAAAGTTAGGTCACTCTATATATTAATAAGTTTAAATAAAATATTATTTTCACTATGTATGTTTAAGTAGAGACGTCCCAAAAAATAGTATAGTCGGGGTATGTGATTCAGTGATTGCTAAAACAAGCAATTGATTCAGTTGTGGGTTGTGAATAAGTATATGACCATGCACATCAACAATGCAATGCATCGGCTGAAATTATCTCAAATTCATATTTTCTACTACTTTTCATCCACCTGAGAATTTTTTAACCAAAGTTGGAATAATATATGAATATATATACATATAGCTTACTAACTAAATCATTTCTAAAATTGTACACAGTAGTAGAAAGCATCATCTATTTTTTAAGAAATAAATTAAAGGGATAGATAAATAATGAATTTTTCGTTTAATAAGTACTCTCAATTTATAAAACTATTAGGAAATCAATAATTACTAGCCGCTCCAAATCTCTGCCTATATTTTCAAAATCGGATCGGAAGGCGAACTGATAACCTAACTGGGTAACTTGTTTACAGGTTCGATTGATTTCGAATCAGTCTCCAAAACCAATAAAATTGGCTATCAAGAATATTAAAAATGAACTATTTTTAAAAATTCAAAGAAATGGTTCAACCGATACTAGATTCCGGTCAAACTGCGATTTTATACGGGTTTAACTAGTTTTTAAGTCACAGATCTCTGCAAATAAATTATATATAAGAAAAAAAAACCTATCGATATATCCATCTACTGTATTTGACACTTAATTACACATGCAAGCAGTCAAAACAACTAAAAAGGGGAACTCCCGCAACAAATAAAAATTAATCTTCCTCACAACTACACAACCTAAATTGGGGCTGCAAGTTTGATAATTAAGATTTATGAAAAACAATTCTTCTCTTTTACCGGAGTTCGAGTTGGGGATATTCCGGCGATACCCAGTGAAACCACTCGCACCACTTCCATTTCTATTCACTCCTGCTCTTCCGGCCATTGATTCTATACCTTCTTTATTGATTGTGTTGCCGTTTATTAGCTTTCTAAACACACACAAACACACACAAGAAAAAACTGATTTTGCGGTTTCTTCACTTGCTACTATGTATGCCGAGAGACAACAAGGAAACGTGAATAAATAGGCGCAAAAAAGAAAACTGCAAAATAAAAAAGAAAGAAACTATTGCAAAATGGAGTGGCACAGTGACAAGTGGTAGTATGGCAATTTATCTATTATTATTTCCATGAAGAAAATGAATGTAGATTTCACGTGACAGTCCGGCGTGGATAACGAGGGGCTTGTATTGCCCGTACTATGCTCCACCTTCCTTACCTATTCTCTTACTCTCCCATTGCCATTTCTGATTTCTTCAATTTCGTGGTCTCTCTTAAATACATACTTTATTAGAAAGCTATGAAACTCATTTCAAACGATAATATATATAGGTCCCCGTCCTAAAATAACACCAGTTTACATTGATAAAATAATAATCTTTTAACTTTACTCAATGTCTATTTCTATCATTTACTTATTATCTTAATTTCATATAGAAACACACTCATGATTACACTATTCATTGTTTATCATTAAACACTATACGAATTATTATCAAGTAGGTCCATAGGCTTGAAATTGTGTTTCATCAATAAATAAATTCTAAACTGAAATAGTATTACCATTTTCTTTAATGTAATTTCGTTTTATTTAATTTTTTTTTGGTCAAGTCTATTTAATTTTAAATAAGTACACAACGTAATTTCTTTAGAGTGTTATAAGAAGTCAATCTATATCTTGTAATTTTTGTTTTAACGTAAGAAGAAAAGAATTAAAAATTTTTCAAGTATATATCTATTTCTCTCAATTTTGGAGTTCTAGTAACGAGTAGAATAAAAATATATGATTACACTACACAATTAATTAATTCCACCTTAACATCTCTGTTTTTTTTTAATAGAGACATCTCTGTTTATTATTCCGTATCTCCTCTCGCAGAAGGTTCTCTCATAAGGATGAATATATATTAATATATATATATATATATATATTGTTTTTCTTGTTTCCCTTTTTTTTTTTTTCTTTTGCTATTTATGTTACAAATAAAATTCAAAGCATAAACAATGTAAAACTAACTATGCTAAGAAGAAGAGGAAAAAGAAACAAAACAATTCCATTTCTTCTGTGACAGAGTAATTCACGATTTGCTATCGAGAATCATGTCTCTTGACAACGAGGAAGTGGTTAATCACATTATAGCACACATTAGACATCTTGCAGCAAGGAGAGGAAGAAGGAGGGTGAGATGGCAGACATTGCCCAATTACCACATCAGACATTTCAATGGAGATCACCCTTTTCGAGAGAAATATAGGACCATTCCACTCACTTGTTCTTCAATCGTGATTTGATGCTCGCACATTTATGCCCCACTATGTAGGCTGTGAAAAGGAAGAAGAAGAAGATGTAAGTACTGATTCAGAAACTGAAAGTACAAGAAGATTTTTAGAACAAGAGGATATTGCGGTTGGTATTGATGGCCACATTTAGCAAGTCATTGATGTTCTTACGAATCCAGTATCTACATTGACTACTGTGGCAGTTGTGGGGATGGGTGGCATTGGTAAAGCAACCCTTGCAAAAGAAGTTTTCCAACTATGTTATAAGTTCCTCCTATTTGATCGCGTCGCTTGGGTCAATTATACATCTAATATGGACCAAGTGTTGTCCATCTTTTTGCACCCCATTAATCTGCCTAATGAAAAAGTTCAAGGACAAACCAGACGAGACAGAGGAGAAAGCTTGCAAAAAAGTTTGAAGATGAGAATGTACTTGATTGTTTTTTATGGTTTACGAGATTTGCACATTAGTAGTTTCTTCCAGATGATGAAGTTGGAAGCTGAATACTAATAATTAGTTGTCAAATGATGCAATTACCCACCATGACAGATATGAATGTAAAGATAACCTTCCATCATATTTGTATGAAGATTTTAAATGAAAATCAAAGCTTGGAATTATTAGAGAAAATGATCTTTGGGAAACGAAAGTTGTCCGGTTGAATTGGTATAAGTAGGAAAACGAATAGCAAAACAATGTGGAGGGTTACCTCGCATACCCGTAGCAATTGTTCTAACGGCAGGTACTCTCCTTGATAGCCAAAACCCAGAGTCATGAGACTCCTGGATGAGTGTCATGGATGACATATTAATTGTATTTGGTAACCTAGAGTCGTGTCTAGACATAATAGGTTTAAGTTACAAGTACTTGCCCCCTCACCTAAAAGCCTAGCAATTTATGGAGGGCCGACGGTTTCTTGGATGTTCATGACCCGCCAGAGATAGTCTTAAAAGAACTTATGGACATGAGTTTAGTTTCAATTGGCAGGACAAGTTTTCATGTCAAAATCAAAACATTTACCCTTCATGATTTTTCACGACTGTTATGCTTGAGAGAAGCTTGAAAACATTTCATGCATGTTATAGGAAGAAATGCTAATGGAAATGGCAATGCCCAAGCTTTAGCATTAGAAAAGCAGAGCCATCTGATTTTTAACATGAAAGATTCTGATGGTTGTACTCAAATATTGCCTCCACTTCCTCATCTCCGATCTTTTATATGGCTTGCTCTTGGTTCCGATTTAACTCCAAGTATGGTAGGTCTCATGTTTTCTGGATTTAAAAGGTTGAGCTTGTTGGCCTTATATTTCTTGCCTTTCGATACCTTTCCAAGACAAATACTAAACTTGGTCAATTTAAGGTATCTTGCACTCAATGTGACATAGGAGCTTGATGAATCGATATCTCTGCTTCACAAACTTGAGCAAGAATTAAAATGAGGGAACCCCGACTATATTTTTAAGATGCCATGCTTGTCCAATGTTAATATTCGGTTACCTAGTGTTTTAAGATATAATGTCATTCCAAGATTTCACATACCGCAGCTCAACCTTAAGGTCATATCCAAAATAACATTTTCCAGCTTATGGGAACTGCTTGATTAAGCATCCAATTTTAATCTTAAGGAACTAGGAGTTTCTAAAAGCAAAAAAGAGCAAGCATGGTAAAATGTTATGATGTTTCTCATATTTGGGGTTTCCTAGATTGAAAGAACTAGAAGTACTGAAGTGTTCCTTTTACAAAGAAAACAAGATAGAACGTTTCTCTAGATCAGGATGGTTGGCCAACTACACTCAAAATGTTGACTTTGAGCGGGAGTTGTTTTTCATGGGAGCAAAAGAACCTCCGTACTCTATTACCCAATCTTGAGACCATAAAGCTCAAAGATGAGGCATTTCTAGGGCAAAAATGGGTGCTAACCGACAAGGTATTTGCTCGTCTAAAACAATTATTGCTTGACAACATAGATCTTAGGAGGTGGGAAACTAGAAATGGTGATAAGCACTTTCCACGACTTGAGCGGCTAGTTCTAGCAAGTTTCTTCAGAAGATACCTCTGGGCAGTGGGTAGTTTGGTGCCTTCGAGTACATTGAACTGCACTACTGTTGTGAATTAGCTGAAAAATCAGCTCAACAATACGAGAAATATTATGGGAGCCCATGTGTCAATATTTGAAGCGGCAACCGTCGGTAGGTTAATATTTATCTTCCTTGCTTCTCTATTTATCTAAAGTTCACATAAGCTCCAATATTAAAGGTTTTATACATCTTTTTGTTTCCCTTTTCTTTTGGCACAAAATAAAAATACATTAAGCTAGGACTTTTCAACTACAATAACTCTAGAGGTAGTAGTTTATGGCTAGAGATAACTTTCAAAGAACGGAAGATAATGAATTCATCAAACGATTTGATAAATGAACGTAATAGTCCATCCATTTTACAATTCTGTTCAATTTATGTACACAAAAGAAAGTGCATGCAATATTCCACCTACATATATCTGTACCCAACACCAAGTTCCTTAATATGCCGGAAAAATTGACGGTCTTACCCTAAGGCTTTCTTTCACTGTAAATGTCACCTGTAGATTTTCAGTCGGTCAATTTCGTCCTGTCTATTTGAATTTTTTGCAAATTTTGTCAATTTGACTAATTTCCGTTTAATTTTAAGGATTTCTGTTAGCTTTTTAAATAAAACACCTTAATAGTTTCAAAAATTATAAACATAAGCAGGAAAAAATAGATTTATGGATGGAATCAAAAAACACCTTTTCACATATTTATTTATTTTTTTCTATTTTCATTCCATTTCTCTTTACTGCTTTCATAACCATAAATATATATATGATCTTTAAAAAATATTAATTTATTTTCAAACTATATTTTGCACGTGTAACAATGTGGGTCCAGGGATAATTTTATCATTTTATATTTTAAAATTTTTTTAGTATTTTATTGAATTTTTTTATTCATTTTAATTTTATGATTCTTCTTCTTATACTTCATGACTTACATATGTTAGCACCAGTATAATTGCTAAATTTCAAGAAACAATTTATCTTTTGTGTTTCAACTTCTAGGTTATAAGAAAAATATAGTAGTGAAAACACTGTTGAAGAGTACATGTATTTATGTTTGTCATTAAATTTAATGATTACTTATATAGTGACACCCAAATAATTATTAAAGAAAAGAAAAATAGTGACACCCAAATTCATAAAAATTCATCGTTGCGGACTAGTTAAATTAGCACTTTTTTTTTTCAAATGTTTGCATAATTTTGTATTATTTTTATTACAATGAACAAAAAATCATTTTAGGATAGAGTGAGTGATTTATATTTTGTAACCTATGTATTATAGGGAGTCAAATATGAAAGACTTGTCTTGACTAATTCTTTAGATTTTTCTTTCTTTTTGTTTATAATAATAAATTATTAACGTTCATGTTTACTTCAACTCGAATATTTCCTTTTCTTATTTGTAATTTTCCTTTTGTTATTAATAAAATTGAGAGTATGCCCGCCAGATACCGTCCTGAATTCACTTAAAAAAAAGAAAGATGATTTAGGGTGCATGGTCCCTTACCATAAGGACCTAACTTCCAAAGGATATCACGCACTCATTACAGTGGCGATCATGATATGAATGTTCTGTTCATTGGAACCCAACAATGGACATCGGCATTAGGTTATGATATCGTAGAGGAATCGAGACCTTGGTTTACGGATGGCCAAGAAGCTGAGTTCACTAAGATACGCCAACAATTTGACGTTCCTCACCATAAAGGGGGCTGGTCACACGGTTCCAGTGTACAAGCCAGGCGAGTCCTTGCATTTCTATGATAGCTGGCTTCAAGCGAAGAATATTTGAGTTCGGATAATAGTAAACCTCCGTTGTAATGAATTTTTCAAGGGATTAATTTTATTTATGAAGTCTAGAGGTATCTTCCATTTACAATTAATTGCGAATATTTTGGTTTGGATCGATGTTATCCTTTTTTTTCCTTTTTCTTGGCTCTGTGTACAAACTATTATAGTATGTGTTAAAACTACAACGACAATAATGCTATGCAAATATTTCTTAAAAAAGATTAGAGAAGACATGAAATTTATTTGATTTGGTTAACTTGACTTCCCCTCCAAAAAAAAAAAAAAAAAAAAAACCAAGGGAGACTCGGTTGACTTCCCGTTCAAGATGAACTTAATATGCATAGTATAATTTTTGAGGACAGGAAATCCCAACTCGTCAAAGTACATATCTCAAAAACAATTGCTAGCTGCAAGATACCATGGGCCGAATCTTACATATAATCAAATCTACTCAAAATCACCACAGTAAATTAGCAATGCATTAGTTTTCTTTCACCTCGTCGGTCACGGTTTCTGCACTGTCTACCACAGAATGAGTGTTTTCTTTCGCCTCGTTTGCCACGGTTTCCCCACTTTTTACCTCATGATCATCGTTCTCTTTCTCCTGGTCGGCCGCCACGGTTTCTGTGCCTTTTACCTCAGATCCAGGACTGTCTTGTTTCTGCTTCTGTTTCTTTTTCTCTTCTTTCTCAGCTTTCAATCTTTCTTCTTCTTCGGCCTTCAACCTTGCTTCTTCCTTGGCTTGCTCAAGGGCATTAACCAACCTCTTCACACAAAAATCAGCATCCTCTTCAGTTGACTTCGGCATCAAATTTTCGGCAACATCAGCCGGGGTCATCTCGATTTCCTCAAGCAATTTCCCAACTTTATCAAACAACTCATGTGATTCTATGTTCAAGTATATCTTCGCCAGATCCTTAAATGCTTCGAATCTGCAATAAGATAGCTCAATGTGCTTATCCATCCTGCCTCGACGAATCAGTGCCGGATCAAGGTCTTCGACATAGTTTGTTGTGAACACAATCAGCCGTTCTCCTCCACAGGCTGACCATAGCCCGTCAATGAAGTTCAAAAGTCCTGAGAGAGTAACTTGGCTGCTGCTCTTGTTGTTGTCCTCAACTTTCTTTGTCTTAATAATTTTTTCGACAGGGTCCTTCTTGTCTTCCTTTGTTTTCGTGTTTCTCTGATCCCTTTGGCCAGTCAGGTCGAGGGAACAATCAATATCCTCAATCACAATGATAGATCTTCCGGATGTATCAATCAAAAGTTTCCTCAGTTCCGAATTGTCCTTTACCGAAGTCAACTCAAGATCATACACATCATAGTTTAACAAATTCGCCATGGCAGCAATCATCGTGGACTTACCGGTTCCTGGAGGACCATAAAGGAGGTATCCGCGCTTCCAAGCCTTCCCTATCTTGGCGTAATACTCTTTCGCCTTACTGAAATTGATCAAATCATCCATGATCTCCTTCTTCTTTTTTGGTTCCATAACCAAAGTATCGAAAGTTGCCGGATGCTCAAATCTGACTTGGCTCCACATGGGCGTCCTGTTTCCAACATCACTCTTGCGGTTAGTATACAGCTTTCGCCGCCTCTCCCTCACCGCGATCTGCTTGCCTTCCTCCAGAACATGTTTCAAATAGACATTGGTCACGAATTCGCGATGCTTTTTGTAAAATGTCAGCCTGAAATACCTCTTCTCATCTCCTCTTGTATAAAGAGATATGGACTGCCCCTTCGGAGTCAGTTGCCTGGAAGCCCACCGAACCTTAATACCTTGAAATTCATCGCTGACTTCTTCGTTTTCCTCTATGCTCAGGACAATGGTGTCGGAATCTGGGGCATGGCCGGCTTTCAGGAATCTAGCTTGATCAGAAGATTTCTTATGGAGGTATCTTTCAATGGCCTTATAGGCTAAGGTTTTGTATTGGTAAAACCCATCTCCTTGATATTCAGGGAAGCTTATATGGACGTATGGATAAGTATACCTGTGTATCATATTGAGGAAGATACGAATTTGAGAAGGGAAGAAACTTTTGTATGTTGTCCAAACAAACATTAGTGCTGCCAAAATAAAGCCTAAGTTTCCACACTTTTCTCTTTGTTTCATCGTTTTAAGTTTGTTCACAGCCTGAATAATTGAGATTGCCATGCTGGCAGCTGGTACAGCTAGCATGATGCCTTTGAATCACCCGAACTCCGATCAAAGAGGAATACACGCAAGGAGTCTCCCGATAAATAATAATTACTATAATGGTGAATAAATAAAACCAAAATTGGCCCGATTCTATCAATTGATGAACTAGTATAAGAGCACAATGTCTGCAAATTGAAAGTTATTGAGCACAGCGCGCGAAGATCGTCGTCAGTTGGGGGTGAAGAAGCTTGTAAAATTGCCGACTAAGACTAATGTCTTCTGCTGGTGTTTCTGTTGGTACATGTAAAAGGTCTTTTTATAACCCGAAGTATTATTTCCTTTTCATCCTTTGAATCACTCACATTCAGCAATTTCCCTTTTATAGCGCGAATAGTTTAAACACCAAGTCTTACTTTGCTTTGGTTTCTCGCATCAGCAATTTATTGTTATTATTATTATTATGATTATGATTATGATTATGATTATGATTATGATTATGATTATTATTATTATTATTATTATTATTATTATTATTTATTTATTTATTTTTCTTTGGACAAACTAAGTTTTTTTTACTACGTTACCATGATACGTGAATATGTAATATAATACCGGTAAGTAACATCATATTTCAAAAACATAGTAGCACTACACACAATCGGAAGCTCAGCAATTTCCAATTAATAACCGGTTCCGAACCGACTGTTGTTTGTCAATTTAGAGCATCGATAAAACTCATTTGGTTTGACCAACCCAAGTGAATGAACAAATTAAAAGTGATATTGAGCAATCTATCTAAGGATGACAGGAAATATTTTGATTTATTTTATTTCTTGTTTACCTTTTCACCAAAATAGAAATAAATGGGCGACATTCTTTAAATTTGTTTTTTTAAATAATTAGCGTGTTAAATGTGTCTTTGAGTAGCGTTTCTTATTGAGAATGATTGTTATTGAGCAAAATATATTAATTTATCCCCTAATATCAATTTGTGTTTTTTTTACACTCAGTAAAACTTTTTGTTAGACTCCTGTAATTTGCACGTGCTGTTCTTTTCTTGTGCAGTATACGTCGCCTTTTCCTTCTCCCAATTTTAGCAGGCAACACATCTTTATTTCGTTTCAAGACATGGTGGTCATCGGTGGCATAGCTGACATCTTTGGATAGTGAAAAATTAACTTTTTCTCGTGGCTTAGATGATTGAAGAATTAACTTTTTTTTGGTTTTTCCCAATAAATTCAATTTTTTCTTTATTAAGTGAGACTTTAACTTGCGGGATGCCTAGTTTGCTAGTTTGTTTAAAGCAATTAACTTTACCTTTTAAATTATCAAAGAAAAAATGATCAGAAGAAGCCTAAAATTAGGGTTTAGATGCTCTACAACACTTCTTTGTCACACCCTGAGTAGCGTGTACACAAATTCAACTATTTCTTATAAATCATATAATTTGTGTTATTATATATGTATAAACACAAATTTCATTGTATTTTTATTTAATTTTTTAAGATCAATGTTATATTTCTTTTAATGAAATTTGACTGTTTTTATTGAATTTTTTAATTATAAAAAGTAAAATGAGTAAGCTTTAACCCCAAAGGAAAATGAAATATTAGCTCTAAAATATTTAACTTTGTAAGTATTGTGAATGATGTATATATCCCTACAAATGACAAAATTTAGATAAAGTTATTGAATTACGTACGTAACATAGTCATAGTGTAATAGAAAAGTGGTACATAAAATTTGTATCTAATAAAAAAGTGGTACATGAGATCTCGTACCCTGATATAGATTGCTACACTAAAACAAGAGCACAGGGTGCTGTATGTATTCGTTGATCGTTTGTTGGCAAGTCTAGGGTTCCTCTCATCGCTTACACGATTGGTTATTTAGAACTTTTTAATTTAACCGTTTCTTCTGTGGAAATATCTTACATTCACAGTTTTATCCCACTTCAGCAGGAGTTTCCCAATAAATTTGAGTGCATTTCTTAAGGGGGAAAAAAATACCGGAAACCTTATTCTTTGTTTTTTGTTTCTTACATTAAGTATAATGAAAGAGGGTAAAACCTAGAATTTTAAACTACTACATATGAGTGAAAACTGTTAAATGAATGAAAAGAAAGAAATTATCTCATGTTCTCTTGTCCTACATGAATGGATGAAAACTCTTAAACTCAACATATATACCCCATGTGCTACTCCTCTCATTGCCAATTGGTTTTGAGGTGGAACCACTATGGGCCTATATTTGAAACTTGAAGATGGTATCAGAGCGGGTTTTAATCCGCGGACCTGTGGGACTTGTGGGGCGAGGTGGACTGACCCAGATTGGGTCTTGAAACTTTGGTCAACTAAAGGAAGAAATTCGGGGTTTGACTTTGAACTTTGACTGGCGCGACAGGCGACGGTTTATCCGAAAAAATAACCGATCGCAAGACTGAAAAAAAATAAGAAAAATAATATAAAATTACCCGTCCAAACCCATTAGGATTGAGAGGGGCGTGTTAAATGAATGAAAAGAAAGAAATTACCTCATGTTCCCTTGTCCCACATGGATGGATGAAGACTCTTGAACTCAACATATATACCCCATGTATTACTCCTCTCATTGCCAATTGGTTTTGAGGTGGAACCACATGTGGATCTATATTTGGGCCTTTAAGAAAAACACTAAATCAAATCTTGTTTCCTGCCACACAAGTAAAAGCAAAAGTACAATTTTTTCAAAACAATTAATCCTAAAGTCCGACTCTTCCTGTGCATAATATAGATTCCAAATCCGGTCCTTGCTGATCAATAAGTTTATGATACTCTAAAAGTCTAAATGATCCCTCCAACAAGACGCCATTGGTCGTGTGCTATTTCTAGATCAAATAGCACAGCGACATATGATTAACGAATATTTTGAGCATTTTCCAAAGAAGCAGCATCGATATATAGTTTTTTGCATTTTCGCCTCCGATAAAGAAATTTTCTCAATTACCCACAAAAAGTATGAAAAATAGCCACGAAAATATCAATATTTATAGGTTACTCCTTCATAGGCCACAAAAAATTTACTCAATATTCTGTTCCCAGAACACATTCTGGGAGAACCAAAACACAATCAATAAAATAAGATTTATTTATTTAATATTTTTAGTGGGGGAACTTCATTTGACTTCGTGATATTGTTTAAGGTTTTCGGTTCCTTTTCCTTTTTTTTTAGGAAATTCTTTTCCTTTATTTTAATGATAAAGTCACTTTTTCGTATTAAAAAAATTTACTCCAATAAACTTCATTTAAATGTGGATAAAATACTCTTAAAAATCGCTCCATGATGAACCTAGATCTACTCTTAAGAATCACATTACCCTGATCACTATAATATTATTCAATTCTATTTTATAACATTTACAAAGGTTATAAATTTCCATTGTGCTTGTATGATTTAAAGCGAAATTTGAGTAACAGATTTTTTGGGAGAAAAAAAAATCTGTAACCATTTTTATGTTTTGCATCAAACAAAGGCCCCAATAAAATGTGTTTCCTTCAACTGACAAACATACGAGAATTAGGTCAAATGCAGATCGGTGATCAAAGTGGAAAGTGGAAACACTTGAAACCCAAAAGAAATCTGAGACCAGTGATATACTATATGTCTGGATCAAATAGATGAACCGACAGAAATATTTCGTGCAAAGGGTTTTAGGAACGAATCAATGATTAGATAATTCGGAAATAAGATACATTGAATCAGGACTGTAACTTTTGCGCCATTGAAAGTTGTTGTCAAGGTCCCATATTCGCCAAACAGAGCAATGTAATTATGGCTAAATAAATGCAACTTTTTCTATATAATTAAGGTGTCCTTGATACACATTGATCACGAACAAAACACTTCAAACTTGTCATCTACATCAATCGGCACTTCAACACCTCATCAAGTCTACGGTGGTGTTCCCTAAAAAGGGTTCTTCTCCAGCCGGAAATTTGAGTTGAATGTTTAAAGGTCACTCTAAATTTTACCCATGTAAAGCCTACATTTTGTGTAAATTATGTGCAGACTTAATTTATAGCCTTTTTAGTATGGACAGATTAGAGGGCTAATCACGTAATGAGCATCCAGGATAAGATGATGTCCAGTTGTTGGTTAAGAAGAAACATACAGAATTGAAGCCATCGTTCTTCTTTTTATTCGGGTGCGTGACTTTAGGGTGTCTCAAACCCAAAGTCGTGGAAGAAAATATTTTTAGGGTTTTAAAACTTGATATTTATATACTTTTCGCGCTTTGAAAACGCAAAAATATTAAACACCATTAAAACACCTCACGTTTTGGAAATGCTAAAACAGTAATCAATTTTTTAAAATATCTAGAAAAGGAAGGAAGAAAAAGAAATTGAGGGCGAGAAAGGAAAAAAGTAGTGTAATAGGATTTTTTTTCGCATTTTGAAAATGCTAAATGTCTTTTCGAAAACGCTAAAATATGCGTGTGTTAATTTTTCTCCCCAATATTTGCAAAGCTGGGATTTTTTACTCATAAGGGTGTGAAAATCCTATTCCTGCATATGCGGATCCTGAAACCCACTTCCCACCCAGCCTGGGAATCCTATTTCTAATTTTATTAGTTTTTATAACTAAAAAATTATTTTCTTCTTCTTCTTCCTCCCCACCCCATCCTAGAACCCATATTATCCAGCGACATAAAGTTCATCGGATTTGTCCGCCGAATCCAACCAGAACCTCCCCCTCCCTGACTGAAATCCACTGAGATCACTCGACCATCACTGATGGAGACCATCTAGCTAACACTAATAGAGAGGGACATGTTACTGCCAATAATGGAGAAGACGAGCAAGTTGAGGTCGTGAATGCTAATGGAGGATCTAAAGATGCTGCTTTAAAGAATAATCCTCACATCCGTGATCCACTCTCAAACATTGTTGGACCAATGACTCGTGCTAGATGCAAGAGGATGAATGAATCACTTAATAGTCTAATTGTTACTACATGGGCTAAGGAGGAAATTAAGC